TACAAGAGTAGGGTGTCTGTGTTATCCCATGGTACAAGAGTAGGGTGTCTGTGTTATCGCATGGCCATGGAACATCGCTAGAGACAATATACTAAGTCATGTGTTTTAATGTGTGCTTTTATTTCAATTAAGTTTTATTTTTAAATTAAGAGAACCTTCGAAATGTTGGCATTGGAAAAAAGTATTTCTGCTATTTTCTCACCCCATTTTCCCGGTAAAGAACGTACTGAGTTTTGTATATTTGTGGCAGTCAAAGACAATAATATGTAGGTGCATATAGACACACAGGTGTGTTTTTTTCATTATGGTAGGTGATGAATTAAGAGCTGAGTTTTGTATATTTGTGATAGCCAAAGAGTATAATATGTAGATGCATATAGACACACAGTTACATAAATGTGTGTCATCATGGGTAGTGTTGAATCTAGTTTATAAATATTATAGTTTAAGAGAGCCATGTGATTATACAGCTATTTTAAAAAGGGATTGTGAAGATTTGGTTACATGATGTATGTTTTATGGCCAAGCTTGAAATTTGATGCGGATTTATTTTACATGTAAATATTCTCAACACAGCAAATATGCGGGAAAGAGTAGCAGAGTTTTTAAAGTTTGGGAGAATTCCAAATTAKTGTGACCGTTCGCTGACTGGATTTACAATCGCCCATAGTGCATGCGCATTTGGGGCTTGGTATTCAACATGCAATATCCAACAATGATGCAACAAAACCTTCACCAAACTTTTTTGAAATAGCAATATATTTGATATATAGCAAGCAATTAAATAAAGTATGCGTAATGTTAGATAGATGAGGCAGTAAGCCGTGTGGGATGGGCTCGGAAATCAAATAAGAACATGCGTAATAGGTAAATTACGAGCCTTAGTTGAAACGACTGAAGAAGAGTGTCATACATTGTGAAAGGCTTGTATGGCACTGATAGATGTGTTTATCGTCACAGTGAATAAACGATCTAAGTGAACGCTTGAAAGACTTGAAAAAATGATTTCAAGCTTCAACGGGAATCGAACCCATGACCTCCGCGATGCCGGTGCGATGCTCTACCAACTGAGCTATGAAGCCAATCCTGTTGGCGAGCGGTCATTTATGTTGGGTTGGCACTCTTCTTTAGTCGTTTCATCTAAGACCCGTAATTTACCTATTACGCGTGAGCGTAATGTTATTTTTTGGTCTCTACTTGATTCGCCCATAACAAAACGATCAAGAGACTGGCTCCGAGATTGAAAAACTAATCTAGTTAAGCTTGGGAGCGAGCCTACGTAGGCAAAAATATACGATGCATTCCACCTAATACAATATGTAGAACGGCAATAGAATGCAATATCATTACATCAAATAAGTGCTATGTGGGCTCTCCCATGCAATTAAGGCGGTTCCAAGGAAAATTAGAGTGAAGACATTAAACCAGTGAAACAAAATTTAATAGTAAAGATGTAATAGTCAAATAGACACAAAAGAAAACAAGGGAATTAGCGACTACTAAAGTGTATCAGTCTAACATCTATTTCACTGGTTAAATGACTTCACTCTACGCCAATCAGTATGAAAGAACAACATACAACAAGGACCAAGTTTATGATGTTGTTGGACGGCGTCGAAAACAAACTCGGATGTAAACCAAATCTAATGTCAAGTTCATTCAAGAGCTGCCTTGAATGTACACAAATTTAATGAGAAGTTCATTCAAGAACTGCCACGTTCAAAGGTAATAAGTTTTTTTCCATTTTATTCTAGATCTAGAGATTCGAAAAGCAGGAATATGAACATGATATATAGCTTAACAAGTTTTAGAAATCAATCGCACACTACTCGCTGAAAGTCGTGAGTTTTCAAAATATTCTTTCTTTCTTTGTATTTTTTTTAAAGGTCTTAAGATTACATTTTGTCAATATTTTGTAAATGCCTTTTAGTTAAAAACATTCACATAGTATCTCAATTTTCGGTTAAATATTTTTGAAGACAATTCATTCTGATCTCTAGTTGAATCCACGCATTTTTGATTTATTTCGACCATAGTCCTAAACAGTACTGTATACAGTTTTCTAACTTATAATATTTGTGATTGGTGTCAATTATTGGCTGTCATTACATCGTCAAACAATCAATGAAATACATTGTAAGGCACTGTTATCACGTGATCTTGACAACGTTGACCCCCCCGAAACGGGATATGGTTGTGCCTAACTACATTACTTACAGTGTAGTGGAGGCGGTTCAATTAAATAGTAGGCGCTTGCTTCAATAGAGTTTTTAAGCCTAGTTTCGCTGGTAACCGATTATGAAGGATATATGTAATCAAGACAAGCAGGAGAAAGAAAATGCATCTCTAGTGAGAATCAACCATCTTTAGTTCTTATTTAAGTTCACATGCGCTGCCGAATTCAGCATCGAATGTTCAAAAGTAAGCACGAAGCGGCGGATTGAAAGAAGCAATTACAAGGGATGCGTGGGATATTCTATGTGCTACGAGAAGTAAAGCATTCTACGGCTTATATATGTTTTATATTCCGGTCACCAATAGCAAACTGTCCAAAATGTATGGGGAAAAGTTTGATATTGCAAAGCAAATTTCATATTTCATCCTTTCCGAATCAAATATTATACCAAAAACAAGAATAGTGATGTTCGACTGAGATTAATGATACTAATTTTCTTATCCCTAGCTGTGACAGCAGTGTTGATCGATCGAGTGTTATAATCAGCGCACAGATATTTGCCAAGTGTCATTCACATCGGGTGGCACTGCATTACTAGTGTCATCCGGAACTTCATTGTCGCAGGAATAATAATCTTCAAATTCGAAACCGTGTTTTCGACTTGTGTGACAAACCATATTAGCCATTCTATATGGACCCATACAGCACGATGTTCCCCACTCATCGTTCGAAGTATCACCCCATTCACTGCATTTTTTGCTAAGAATCGACGTGTCATCAGGCAGTCTATCGAACGAACCACAAGCAGCAGGGCGTACTGAAGCTACACCTGGTTCTGTAAAGAAGCTTATTACAGCTTGTCCAGCGTTGTTCTTCTTCGTCATTATGCTCACTACTCGACCCACGGATTTCTTGTGACAATAGAAATGAATCTGGTGGAATCCCATCTTGTCCTTGATATCCAACATGGCGGCTCCCGAAGCCTTAACTTTTACATCTGTTCTGTTGTATTCTTTGATGACCTCATAGGTGGATGACTTGAGAACAGGCAATGCAGTGTTGCTTGGCTGGACTAACTTCGAGACCACAGTCCATCCACCTGAAAAAATATTTTAAAAACAATGAATATGCATGTATAATAAACCTATATATGTTATATGCCGTACTTATTTCTCAGTTTTCAACGTTTAAGGTGACTTCATACATGACCATTTTAGCAAACAGTAATCACAATTTAACATAATTTAACATTGGTTCAACATAAGGGATGGTCCAGTTGTTAATACTATGAGGTGGAGCGGGGAGGGGCTGGTGGGAATTGGGGGGAGGGGCACGTAAAAAATATGACGTTGAAAAGGGGGCCACCTCAAATATAATTAGGCTAAGTTGAAAATTTATTCAAAAAACTTTACTCACAATTCACAATTCACATTCCCGTAAAACGTGAACAGTCCTTTATGTTGAACCGATGTTAAATCCTGTAAAACATGAAGGGTCCCTAAAGGATCCCCCCCTAATGGTCCGTCCCTTCCGAGTGGAATTAAGATGCTTTGTCCATTTCAAGCGAGGGAAAATTCTCTCTGATTTGTTGAGAAGGAATTTCATTTCACTCAGCTCGTGCTAACTTTGATTGACGGCAGCCGAAACTAGAAACGCGTGAAGCCCTCGAGGTCGGGTAATTTTGAAAATGGGTGTAAAATGATTCTCAAAAATTCTAAACCAGAATAGAATATGAAGACAATAAAGCTAACTTTTATGATAAAAAAAATATTTTTGCTCCTTTTAGTTGCAATTTACTCTGAACCACTACTATTTTACGATCATAGCCTGTTATCCCTTGTCTCTAAAACACCCAACTTTGAACTCACCCCCATCTGTTGTCATGTCACAGTAAGCTTGTATTGGGCTCCCTGTGTTGGCTGGGTCTAACCAGTACTCGCCTGTCCCAGCTGAAGCGCCGCTGTTCAATACATCTAGACAAGACTTGGCAGGTTTGTCTTTTGTTCCTTTCTTTAATACTAAAAATCAAAAAAATAGCACTTAGAATAAAAATTAAAATATAGGGGCTACCTGTAGATCTCCCGAATGACAGTGTCAACGTACCGGGCCAACTCACAGATCAACTCACAGATCGAATCCTGAAACAACCTCTGGGCTGATCTGCTAAGTCATGGCATGGCTAACTCACAGATCGAACCCTGAAACAACCTCTGGGCTGATCTGCTAAGTCATNGGCTAACTCACAGATCGAACCCTGAAACAACCTCTGGGCTGATCTGCTAAGTCATGGCATGGCTAACTCACAGATCGAACCCTGAAACAACCTCTAGGCTGATCTAAGTCAGGGCATGGCTAACTCACAGATCGAACCCTGAAACAACCTCTAGGCTGATCTAAGTCAGGGCATGGCTAACTGTACCCAGAGTTTAGAAGCGAACGCGCTATCACACTATCTTGTCATATCTTACTTATTCTTCCAGAAGGGTTGATGGAATAGATACTGTTATGTCTTTCTATAAAATATCGTGGTGTAGACTCCTTGGTCTGTGTGTTCAGATCACATGTACTGGTTGACATGAGAAAGTTTAGGCTCATACAAGTCATGTCTGCTTCACAGGCCAGCAGACATGTCGCGTAGCTTGCGGTGCTGAAGGACTTGTAAGCGGAATTTTTCAACGCGTAGCCGTTGGAGTTTTCTTCTGGATAATAATCGCTCGAGAAGAAGTGCTGCTGGGAACTGATTTGCACCTCCATGACTATGACAGTAACGAGGAGTACAAAAGCCACAATCTGTGAAGAAAATTAAATCCGCGGATCACAAAACTGTGCTATGAAATTAAAACCCAACCACGTCCTACTTCTATTGCTTGAATTTCGATGGAAAACCTAAATTTAATCTTGATTTAAAGTTTGGGGGGGAGGTGATATTACCAGGGGAAAGCGGGGCTGAATTCAAAACGCGGGACAGGTTTTACATTAATTTTTCTTTCGGCTCCAAGTGACGATGGCGAGACAAAACTATGCGAATGCATTAACAGTGATCATACTTTTGCGAGTCTTGCTTTAATTCCATGATATTCAACATCTCCGTTTTTATTCCCAGAAACTTTGCTTCAAAACAATAAAAATAGGGCGTGGTTGGTTTTTAAAGCAGCAAAAAATGGTGCACTTTAAGGAAAGACAACATGTTCTTGGAGCGTGCACTGGGTTGCCTATTTATCCTTTTTATGCACACTTAAATCGTTTTTTAACATCCAAACCAGTGACGTGGAATGAGACTTGATAAGTAAAATGATTCATGCAAAACTATACAGATGCGGTGGCGGAGAAACAGCATTGTGTTACTGACGTGACTACTCTCCATCTTCAATAACGGACAAGTATTATGACCCTGTAAGACAAACCCTATATCTGACGAGATCAATATATTCATTTCAGGAACTGTGCCTGGCCAAATAAGCGACATAAATTCGTTTAGAAATGTGTTGAAATGGTTATTTGTTTTTCGCTTTCTGACGTTCTCGATCTCTCCATTATCGATTATATTCTTGAAAGAAAGTGTTTTTTTTAAGTATCCAAACCAGTGAAGTGAAATGAAACTCGGCTAATAAAAGGATTCAAAACTTAGCGAAAAGTATTTTACGGCCAAAGTTACCAGAGTTGATAAAAAAAGAAAGAAAGAAAGAAAGAAAAGAAAAGAAAACACACCTAACTGAGACAGAAAAGTGGAATTAATTTTGAAGTTTATGAGCTGGCCTTCAACAAGTCAAATGAAGCGCGTTTCGAATAACTTTAATGTTTATCTTACCACAAACATATTTTTTAGTTTTCCTCTGTGAAAAAAAAAAAAAGAAAAAAGAAAAAAAAGCTTTTCTCTTGACTTAAATACTACAGAAATTGCCAGAGATTTTAAAACTTAAGGTTTTATCTGGTTAATTATTAAAGTCAGTGAGGAAAGTTCGATTCCTCAAGCATATGGATGTATGACATTAATAATGGATGCAGGTCAAAACGGAAGATCTTAAATGGCATTTATATCTATGACAATGAAAGCGTTTAACAAATTAAATTCTTAACCTTTTAGTTGGAACTTATAACACTGATTTAAGAAATCTTGTGGTACTTTTTTTCTTTTGAAAACAGATTTAGAATTAAAATTTATTTTTGGCAACGCAGAATGTTTTGAGAGATCGAGAAGGAATTTTCTCAAAGAAACTTGTAATATCCGTAAAACAAACAAAAATTAAGAGAAAAAAATAGAAAAAAGGAAAGAAAGAGAAAGCTCCAGAACTTAGTTAAAGTATGATCACATTATAATTAAGATTATAATTGAAGCATTTTACTGGCTTTAGTTAATAAAACTAGCTTTGTGTTGCGTAGTTAAGTATTACGGTGGAATAATGGGATATGCAACTATTAGACTTGGTACCGAACGCGTCTATTTTTCCAAATTTAATACTGAAAATACGCTAAAGAAAGGAAGGAAGGAAGGAACGATGGAAGGAAGGAAGGAACGATAGAAGGAAGGAAGGAAGGAAGGAAGGAAGGAAGGAAGGAAGGAAGGAACGATGGAAGGAAGGAAAAAAGAAAGAAAGAAAGAAAGAAAGAAAAACATGGAGAAGACAAAAACAGCATATGTACAAACTTACATCGTTTAGAGAAGGCTTCAATTCCATCGTTCGTTCTAACAGCGTGCTTTGAAAACTTGTCACAAATCGTAGAATCGCTGTCTTCGTTAAATCCGAAATAGCACAGAATGTTAGTTCTCAGACATGATAACCAGCACTTTCTTAAAGTATGACGATGACATTTACTGGCACATTATTAATGAAGGAAGCATTTCATTGGCTTACATTGTTAGTAAAGAAGATTAGCGTTGTGATGCCTTGTTGAGTACACTGTTGGATTAATACGATATGTCACAAATAAAATTACTGTAGAACAATAAGTCTACATTTTTTTTCCAATTGAATGAAAAATCGCGCTAATTAGCCTGCTTTCAAGACAGAAACTAAAAACGTCTGGTAAAGAGTATAGTTTATTCGGCCTAAGATAGCTACGTTTTTACTGTACTAGCGTCTTCTTACTTATGATTAAAATATATATATATATATTGTGTAAGAAACGTTTAAGCAACTAAATTAAAGTTTAAAAAATCAGTCAGAGGAGGTTTAGAATAAGCTATAAATATCATAATAACTTCAAGTAAAGCACCACCGAATTCTTTCCTCTACAGGGGTCATAAAGACGCAAAAACATGCATATGGAATGAGAAAATTCATCAATCAGGAAAGATTCAAAATCAGCTGTAGTAAATACTCTCTCAAACACACTCTCTTGGAGGGATAAAAATAAAARCGATAGATTTCAAAAACTTTGGAACTCTCAAGAAAAATATAAATATAAAATAGCTCTAAACATGGAATGACAATGTGAGCTGATAAAGGGAAAAAAAACATACCTAAGATAGAAAAGTGKATTCAGTTTTAAAGTTTATAAGCTCTTCGATAAGTCAAATGAAGCGCACTGCGAAAATAACTTGAATCTTACCACAAAAATTCTTTTTCTCTGTGACAAAAAAAAACTTTTTTCCTGACTTAAATACAACAGAAATTGCCGGATATTTTAAAAATTTAGGAGCGGGATAAAACAATTTTAAATCGTCTGTGTTATCCCATGGTACAGGAGTAGGGTGTCTGTGCTATCCCATGGTACAAGAGTAGGGTATCTGTTTTATCCAATGGTACA